ACCTCAATAAAATCACAAACAGTCAAACCATATCAAGCAACACACAGTGACTTATCACAACACAATGGCACATTTTAAAGGGGTGGGGGGAGACAATATTTAACAGTAAATATCTCACCTGCCTGCAGAATTAGCAATATGTAAATCTACCCGAATATGCAAATGAACCAGTCTTGCAATTCAGGTAGTGCATATTGCTGTTGCTACCAACAGAGGGCACTAGACAAGCTCCATAGCCAAACCTAGTTGGTAGCAAACTTCAGCAATACAAGAGAGCAGGCAATACATTACACAGTACACACACACACACACTATAAACAATTACATAACACACACCCTGCACCTATAATGGGTACAGGGTGACTAAAACATAAGATAAATAAAGCAGCCTACATAAATAGTCTGTCTGAAGGTAGACTAGGGGCTTTAAAGCCAGATACATGAAAGAGTCATAGTCACAGGGGAGGAGCCTGGCAAGTAGGCCTCTCCAGGACCAAGTGGCGAAGGGCACTTCGTCACAACTTCGATCAAAACGCCTTTTAGAGCCTCAAGACATTTTTTGTATGATGCAATCAGCTTTGCACATTTGGATTTCGTTTCTAACCAGGTTTTCTTTATGGATATCTCTGTATTTTGCTGTGATGGACTTTACCTAAACCCTGATTAGTCTCCCAGTATCTGCTTCTGAAAACACCCTGAAAGCTCAATGTTATCTCCACCATGCTTCACCATTGGTACAGTATTGTGCAGGTAATGTATGGTTTCCTTCAGACATAAAGCTTTGTTCAATCTTTATTTCACCAGATCAGAGAATCTAGTTTATCACAGTCTAAGAATACAAGAATATTTTCATTTTTAGAAAATCTTTTTTTGGGGGGCGGTTGTCATTATGGGATATTGAGTATAGATTGACATAGAAAATAAATGGTGGGTCTTAATGCTTTCTGAATTCACTGTATATGTATGCACGGTATATACATCTCGGCCTTGTATATAATTCTTATCTATATATTTTTTCCTTAATAAAAATAATAGAGTATGACATTTAAAGGAACACTATAGGCGTCCAAACCACTTTAGCTCATTGAAGTGGTCTGGGTGCAGTGACCCAGGCCCCTTAACCCTGCAAGTGTAATTATCGCAGTTTTTGATAAACTGCAATAATTACATTAGAGAGTTAACTCCACCTCTAGAAGGACTTCCGGGTCATTAGACAACTTACATAATGCTGGTTATCCTCACAGTATGCATACAATACAATGCTTTCCAATGGGGGAAGTCCAGTTGAGAGCACAGCGATTGACGCGCATGTACATTTGGTTCCCCCCAGCTGATGTCAGCAGAGGAGGAGCGGAGGTAGAGCCTGAACCAGCACTGAGGGACATCAGCTCTGGGATCATGTAAGTGACAGAAAAGGTTTTAAAACCCTTCTGCACCATAAGAGTGGGGGGGACTATATGGAGCTATAGTGCTAGGAAATTTTTTTGTTTTTCTAGGACTATAGTTTCCCTTTAAATGTTAAAAAAAAGTGTAAAGGCATTTAAAATTCCAGAGGCAAAAACTGTGAGAAATGTAAGGACACAGCTTCAGAAGCTTGTCTTACGCTTAAGGACACAAGCCATTTTAGCATTTTTTGCTGTTTGTGTTCAAACGCAATTTGCATCTCTCTCATTTATTGCACCAACACATATAATACATTGTTTTTTAGAGGGCAAACAGGGATTTAATTTGATGTCACATATACAGAGATACATTCTCATAAATTATAAAAAAAAATGCCAAAAAATAGAGAAAAAAACAAACAAAAAAAATAAATTTTCTTCACAGTTTTGGCAATAATACCGTGTGCATAATATGTCCAGCTTAGAAAAAGTT